ACAGGAGATGAATATATATATGTGCCGAGTTCACCTCCTAACCCTACCTTGGCTATAACCCTACAATAATAGCCCAATAAATGAAAAGGTACGTGTGCATGGGCTGGACACACGTCCCTCATGGGCCGGAGACTCGCTAACAGCCTCCCCCAAATAGATGCTGGTCCCGAAGCATCAATTTGCTTGTAAGGAACCAATGCCTGCTCGTGGTGAAGGACTTCGTGAGCAAGTCAGCGACCTGGTCTTCTGTAGGGATGTAGCGAAGTTGAATCGTACCGGCGCAGACTAAGTCTCGGATGTAGTGAATGTGAACTTCGATATGCTTTGTTCGATTGTGAAGAACTGGGTTGACAGCAATTTGGATAGCACTGGTGTTGTGAACATGGAGAACCATAGGTGAAGGAAGATGAACTCCGAGATCCCCGAGAAAACGCTGCAACCACTCCATCTCCGAACCAACATCCGACATAGCACGGTATTCTGCCTCAGTGGAGGACTTAGACACCTTGTCTTGTTTCTTACATCGCCACGAGATAAAGGAATCACCAAGCTGTATACACCATCCAGTCGTGGAACGGCGGGTGTCAATACATCCTGCATAATCAGAGTCAGAGTAAGCACGTAAGCATAAATCACCAGACGCAGGGAGGAAGAGTCCAACATCACGCGTCCCCTGAAGATAACGCAAGATGCAATGGACAGCAGCAAGATGGTTAACCCGTGGAGCAGCCATAAACTGGCTAACAAGCTGGACCGCATAGGCGATGTCAGGACGAGTAGCGACGAGGTAGATGAGACTCCCAACAATGCTCCGGTACACTTTCCCATCAGCCAAGGGTGCCCTAGAGTCATGTCCAATCTTCAAATTAAGCTCAATTGGTGTACGGACAGGAATACAGTTGGCAATACGATGATCTTCCAACAGGTCAGTAACATACTTATGTTGACTGAGAAGAATGCCTCGATTAGATCGATGCACCTCGATCCCAAGAAAATAAGACAAATGCCCCAAGTCTTTTAGACTAAAAGAGGTGCGCAAGTTCGCCTTAAGCCGATCAATACCAAGGATGTCATCACCTGTAACAATCATGTCGTCCACATAAATGAGGAGAACGACTCGGACGCGAGAGGTGATCTGAGTAAACAACGAAGGATCGTTCTGACTCTGCTCAAACCCGAAGCCCAAGATAGTTTGTTGAAATTTCTCGAACCATGCCCGGGGGGCTTGTTTCAAGCCATACAAGGACCTATGTAGGAGGCAAACCTGATCAGCAGATCCGTGAGGATAACCGGGGGGAATTTCCATGTAGACAACCTCCTTCAAGTCACCGTGCAGGAAGGCATTTTTAATATCCAGTTGAAATAAAGGCCAGTTTCAAATGGCCGCCATTGCAAGGAGAGTACGAACTGACTGCATCTTCGCCACAGGTGCAAATGTCTCCTCAAAATCGATCCCATATTCCTGTGTGAAGCCCTGAGCCACCACCCAAGCCTTGTACCGCTCAAGGCTGCCGTCGGGAAGGAATTTGAGGTTGTACAACCACCGACACCCGACGACAGGGACTTGAGGAGGAGGGCGGTCCACTATGGTCCAAGTGCGGTTGGCTTCCAGATCAGTGAACTCTTCATTCATCGCCTGATTCCAATTTGGGTCATCCTTAGCTTGAGAGTAACGTGATGGAATCGGGTTGGTAGCGCCATATGGGCCACCAAGCCGAACTGGGGGATGGCCAAAATTCGCACGCTGGGACTTACGAGGGACAACAACCTGCAGAGGTGGAGTTACCTCGCCAAATGGGCTAGAAGAACCCGATGAGGGGGCCGTGCTGGGAGAGGTAGTAGACGAGGAGCTGGACCCAGGTGAGAAAGACAACGTGGAACTCAAGCCTGATGAACTGTTGGGTGAGGGAGGAGGCAGATCGGGAGGGAGATCATCTTCAAGCTCAAGGTCACCACCAAATGAAGGTAACTGAGTCGAGGAAAACAGGAGGGAGACAGACTCGGGAGCGGATGACTCATAAAACATGACATTTTCAAAAAAGACGACATGACACGCTCTCCTGATACGACCAAGAGAAGGGTCATATTTAGCATATAAATATAATATTATCATGAAATTGTGTTGTTCTAATTAATTTTGCATTTTAGTAAATGATTGTCGTACTTTTCCTCTTACGTAATGTGAATAGAATACGTCTGCATGTTAACATATTGGTTGGAGTTATGAAGAGAAATTATTACCCATGGATAGCCGTGGATACCCGAAATTCAAACTATTATGGACATAGTTTTGATTTTCTTTCCGTTTCTTATGTGGGTATGGGTATAGGTAAAACCCGAACTACTATGAGTAGGGTAACGGATATGTACTATCCTCCCCCGACCCGACCCATTGCAATCCCTAGTATAATATGCCCCTCTACTATGTCGTTTTATGAAACATGTCTTTTTATTATTGTTTACATCATACATGTCCCATATTTTGGAAAAATTATCAAACATGTCATTCTGTTAAAATTTGCATTACAAAATCGTAAACCATGGTTGAAACGAGATTCAAACGACCCGATATCCACAAATGAGAAGGAAAATGTTAGCTTTACCCCCTTGATTTATATCTCTATGTCTCGTTAAAACGAAATTATTAGAGGTATTTAGCTATATAAATAAACAAAAAAATTCTAATGTAAAATTATTAGGGATATATAGACATTTGTAACACCTAAACTATGGTTTGACCGTGATTGACGATTTTTGGATGAAAATTTTAACAAAAGGACATGTTTGATGTAAAAAATAGTAGAGGGACATATTTGATAAAACTACATAATAGAGGGATATTATATCTATAACCTATAAAATAATCCAGTCCGATTGTAACCGAAAACCGAACTACTCCAATCAATTAGATTTTCGGTTGGGAGAGAGAGTGCAAATATTGTTCCAGTTTGGTCCAGTTAAAACTAGAAAACTCAAGCACTTTGACGCCCTCTGATTCTGTTACTGTACGAATCTTCTCTTTCCTTTCCAGACTCTACTTAATCAATTCATTTTCTAAGTGCCCAATCCATTAATTTCCGTGCTCGTCTTCGTGGTTCGATTTGCAGAATTCCAGTGTTCTAATCCTTCGTTCCTTTACCGATGGCGGGTTCTTGCTTCTTTGTGTATTAGCCCCGGTCCATTAGATGAACGACAGTATTACCGGCTTGACGTCCTGGACAACTGTTTGGGGAAATGGAGTGCTCTGTACGACTGTTTTGACTCTCAAGACCACGTAGTCTTCCGAACGAGAGGCCAGTTCCCCCAAAACTCCAATGTACATCCAATTCGATTTTCTGTAGCGCTTACCTTTCTTTGTAAATTGTTGCGTTGGTTCGATCGAATTTCTTTACATATAGGGTCTTTGATGAGAGTGAAGAGTTAGGAGAGCATCAAGTTGCACATCTTAAGAGAATTGTGTCTTTTTGGTTTTCTGGTTAAAACCCGACCCAACATTTGCGATCTAATCTAATCACGCCAACCTCAGATCGTTAGTGAGGACCATTATGAAACTACTCAAAGAGTTAAGCAAACTTTACAACATTACAAAAAACTCCAGGACATTATAACAATCTTGGGGTTGGACGAATTATCTAAAGAGGATAATTTAACTGTAGCAAGAGCACGAAAATTTGAGGATTTCTTATCACATTTCTTTTTCGTAGCGTAAGTATTTACGGGTTCTCCTTCAATCCAATCTGATTTGCGGTTGTACATTTGGAACAATTGTCATTTGAAAAATCGGGTAAAACTGGTCCGGTTTAATTGATTTTATTTTGGGGGAAAGCAATCATCAACGAGAGATTTTTTTTTTTTGGGGGGGGGGGGGGGGTGGGCGATGCGTCGATTCAACCATTATTATAGACATGGATAAGGTTTTATCAATTATTTTGTTGAAATTATTGTGGAAAATCCTCTGTCCTTTTAGAAAAGAAATCACTCACCAAAGCGAGAGGAATACTGCTGCCTAAAAACAAACTCTTTCAATAAAGTCTAGTGAAACGGCTAGCTTGAGTCGCCTGGTCCCATATCTTACTATGGTGAGCATTAGAGAGAGCTCCCTTTGCAGATGATATAGTGGAATCCCTACTTTCTTTGCGAAGCTGCCCTTGAAGCGCCTCCCCACTATTTGGTATGCGATACCAACATAGCTCGAGTTTCCTACTAGTGACAGCTCCCGAGTTGCTAAAAACTCTATTGTCAGTATGTCCACACTGTCTCCCTTGATGTAGAAGAGCTCCAGTAATCCAACACTGCTCAACATCTGATCCAGTCTAGCACCTGAGCCCTGGTACTGATAAAACTCCTCCCAATAAAGCTCTCCTTGAGTCTCCACTCGAACTGGATTCCATTTCTTGACTTTTCTCCTTTGTGTGCCAGGTGGGAATTGCAACAGTGGATGAAGAGTCACCATCGGTCGCTCAGGAATCATGAGATCCTCATTTGAACCGAAGGCCATATCATTGGAATGTCAGCCTACTGCTGTCTCTCCGCACTACGGCTCCTCAAAATGCCACCCTCAAATGACAGTTTTCCACTGTTCGCACTTGAGGAAATGTGAACAAATATTTACTGGGACGGTGAGTTCCCAATTCCGAATCACTATCATTATCTACAATGGGAGCATGCTTTTTTGCATTGCTAGGCTCATTCCTCCAAGGATGAGCTTATGAACGTGTAGGAGGCTCAACCTCCATTGGATATGCTTAAGGTGGATCAGATGATTGTCATGACTGGCTAGATGAAGATGCCCCATCATCTTTCCTCTTTCCCATGTGGCGTCCCATGAATCTATCAAAGGCTCTTCACCACGATTCTCAAGGGCATAACTGCTGCCCATCTTAAGAGTCCCAAGAGCATAACTGCTGCTCTATCTCAAAATGTCTCAACCGGCAACGGATTGGCGCTAGTGACTAAAAACACTTAAAACGACTTCACCTTCTTGAAGGTGAGTTACTTCTTAAAAAAAACCTTGTTTCTTTAACTTAAACTTACTTGTAAGTAAAGCACACAACAACCTGAAAGCATAACTCACACAAATCATATGACATCATATAAGCATACAAAGGCAAGCACGGCACATAGCAGTCAAATCTCAAAAACTTAAATATCGTAAGGCGTAGAATTTACCCCCTTTACACTCACCTTAATACCTAAAGTAGATTGACTCGAATTAATCATCTCCCTCCCTTGAACTTATTCATGCCTCCTGCCAAAATGCTTAGCTGATAGTATTAATTCCACAAGCTGTCATATCATTATCCAACCCATGAAGTTCTATAATTAACGTGGGTAGGGAATGATTTGTTAACCTCGTTTAGGTCTCCCTGAAAATCCTATTTCCTTCATATCATTTCAAGGGCTTGCTAACGAGGACACCATGATACCCTCTTTATCCTGTATCCAAGTACCAGACCCATCAAACCCCTTTGGCGCCCGATTTTGTCCAATGATTGTTGTATAATTGCTCGGCCATAAATGTCGACCATGCACCCATAGTGTTGTATCTTATACTCCAAACCATACTCTTCAATCATGTTGAAGTACCTTTGCCCGGCTCCCACCATTCCCGTGTGAGCACAAGCATGAAGAACACCTGTGAAAGTCATCTCATTTGGTCGGACGCCTTCTTCTTTCATCATCTCGAACAATGATAATGCTTCTTCACTACATCCATGCCTAGCTGCTCCACTATCAATGCAGTCCATGCTATGACGTTCTTTTCCTTCATTGCAGAAAAAAACAAGGCAAGCATACTTGAAAACTCCACACTTGGCATACATGTCCACAAGAACGTTGTCAATTTCCCCATTCATCTTCAACAAATAACCATCAACCGATCTCCCAAGTACTGATCCAGGACAACCCATTTGGGCGTAACAAGATAAAACAGTCGACAAAGTTATCTTATCCGGCATAATCATCGGTCCATCATTCCCCACCATCATCATCTCACGAGACAGAAACAAACCTTCTGCCTAGCGCCCACTATGAACAAAAGCAGTTATCATAGCAGATCAAGACTCAACATTCCTCTCTGGCATCTCTTCAAACATGTCCAGCGCCTTATCGACGTCCCCGAACCTCGCATACCCTGTAATCATCACGTTCCAGGTGACAGCGGTTCTGTCAGGCATTTCATCGAACAGTATGCGAGCATCACGAAACGATGCAGCTACATACGCAGAGAGAAGGCAAGTGGCAAAGCAGCAGCTTGCGCCTCATCTCCCTTGTCCGAAAAGCTCGTGAGGCCGGAGCCACGGTGGAGGAGGCGGCGGCGGAGATTTCTAAATCAAACCGCGCAAACGAAAGAAGTGGACGGCGGCGGGGTTTTCTATTTGGATCGATGGAGAGGTCGCGGGGAATTTATAGTGAAGGCCACTCGGCCTCTTATGGCCGGCGGTTATATATATTTTTATACTATTAACAATATAGTAATAATTATGTTATTATTATTATTAATAATAAGAATTAATCCACGATTGTAACCCTTCGTATGTAACTGTTAATACAACCGATCACGTAATATGGTCGAACATGAACCCAAAGGTCGGGGTGTTACATTCCTCCACCCTTATAAAAATTTCGTCCCCGAAAGTTGATCGGGCTCATCCTTCCATACTCCTCATTCTCGTGCTTCTTTGGCTCAAGATTTCACTCTTGCTACATGAACTTCAATGGTGTGCCCTTACCTTGCCTTGAATAGCTTACTATAGTTCTTCTTTGTACTCTTGACCATAACTTTATTCTCATCTAGCTCGGTATCATCGAATAGGTTTGAGTAACTCATTGCTCTTTTCAAAATTTTCCAACTTGGGCTGGTAGTACGATTTCGATTATGTTTGATACGTCTATTCAACTCATTCAATACTTGTTGTTAAATCTAAATCGGAGTCGAGGTATCACATTTCCTCCCCCCTTAAGAAAAATTTCGACCTCGAAATTTGTTCATTAATGAGAACCTAAGGTCTTGCTTGAGGTAATCCTTCCGCTACAAGGACTTATACCTTGTACAACCGGGAGCTATAAAGCCTTGCCTCTAATTCGTGTGGTACTTGGTCGACTTATAACTCACCCATTTCTCATAAACCACTTACTCAGCTAGCTACTTGCTCAATGCAACTATGGCACTCCCCCTTCATAACCGCCATTGATACTACAATGGTTATTGTTCTCAACAATTTGTCCTAGGTCTCTACTTAGGATTCCCCTAATAACCATCAATGAGATAAATTCTTAGCCAGCCCTATTCAGAACATGACCTGTTGTGAATTCAGTTCTTAACGCATTCGGGCCTTGGTCTGTTCTCCATATGCCGACTGCTGACGCCTCTCCTCGAATCTCCTGGCATAGAATTCCGTGGTGAATGTTTTACGTATTGAGGGCTTGTCTTGCTTAATTACCTACACATGTGTTGGATCCTAAGTATCGCTTCTTCCCCCCTTTTGAACCCTAAGGTTACTGATGGCTTATACTCTTCCTAATACGGTCGGGACCCCTTTAACGTACGCTAAACTCTAATCCCTGGTAAGTCTCCTATGTCTTTGTATCTCCTAACTTGTACCTCTTACTTCCGTTCCTCAATACTCCTTCTTAGCCTTTAATCTTTCCCTGCATGATCATCTCTTTGTTACCTACCGCTAAGCGCTGAAATTCTCGTACCACTGCTTTTACTTTCTATACTCATTAGAAGTATCCCGTACATCTACCCCTAACTTGCGTCCAAATTTATGATCCTTTCGAAACTTATGATGTTCCCTTTTTGACTTGCTTGTGTACTCCTAGGTGACTCACTTAATGCTTCCCCATTTATATACCTCATTATTCTCCTCTTGGTAACTCCGCTTTATGCACAACTTAACCCTGCTTCCCTTGAGAGTCCTCGTACCATTTCATCTGCCATGCTTTGACCACTTCAGTGCATCCAATATGTCCTCTAAATCCATACTTCCTTTTCCATGTACGGTTTCCCTGCCCAAGAAATTTTCACCCGAGAGATTGTCACCTTTCACCCTCATAGGTGATCTTGGTTTACCTCAGGGGTACCCCTGCAGGTTCCCTAAACTCATATCCCTACTACTACTTTACTCACGACCCTTCTTGAGGTTACTCGCTAGTTCTAGATGTCCCTTGTTCTCGATGTAGTCCCCTAGGTCCCTATTTTCTCTCCTCACTCATGTACCATGATAGATAAGGTTCTCCCTTCGACTAATCCTGACGATCATGATTCCACCTTAAAAATTGACTGAAATATCCATATGGACTTCCTATGGATCGGTTGTTCTCTACTTGGTGGTCAACCTAATGCTTTCTTGTTGTCTATTGTACTCCTGCTTCCGCCCGTCTTAACTATCTTCCTTGACGCATACATCGCCAGGTTGATGCCAACCATTTTTTTCTATAACTTCCACGGTGTTCTTCTTGCTTCTTTACTTTTACTACCACCAAACTACAACTCTCCTGTTGTTGCTTGTACTATATTTGGTCACCAACCTCTGTTGAGTATCTTCTCGTTGTTGTTTTAGGTCACAACTTCCAATGGTGGCTTGCCCTTGGTAACCTTTAACATAACTCATTCCATGTTTCTTTTATTGATCGATCTCGTACATAAACTTAGTCTCTTAGTTAGGATTCTTAGTGGCTTAACTAAGCGTGCCTGTTTCATCCGTAACTAGTTGTCTCCGCTGGAGCCCTCCTACTATGTCGCGCCCACTCAGAGTGGGGCACCTTGGACAAGGTAACTTCTCTTTTTCCTCCTTCTCTCTAATGCTTTTCCTCATCGTACTCCATTATGCATTTTCTTGAACCCGAGTCACCTACACATATTCTCAATCCTACATCGAAACTTCCATGTGCTTCCTCAAATTCTCTGCCATTCACTAGAACATTTATTGAATGTTCCAATTACTTGTCTATACTCGGTTGGCTTAATGACTTACTCTATAGCTAGTCCCGAGACCTTAGCTCTTAGCCCTCTAGTTCCAACTTAGTAGAGAGATTCTTCCTTCTGTCATCCCTCATGTACCCCAGGCGGCTAGGTGCTCCCTCCATTTAGGATAGGACTATCCCATAACAGGTCATCACAAACTCTGCATCCCCCTTTCAACTATCCCAAAGACCTCCTGACCTTTCATGATCTGGGTAGTTTGTAGGGCCTCTAATATCCTCTTTCTAGCTCCGTGTTGACTTAGTATTCAACTCACACATTGTTGAGAAGTGGTTCTCTACTCATGTCTCGTCTAACGGTGGTTGTACTGAGACCATAACTTATCCTCTACATCATTTACCTCGTTGCTTGTCTTGTTCCTTCTAACGGCTTGTCATCAGCCTAACCCCCCAGGGTCGTGTATCCTCTTCTCTAGTGACGTAGTTTATCCATACGGGTTCCTTTATCGTTATATGTAAATGACCATACCTCCTCTCCGCCTTGAACCTTTTGACTTCTTGACGTTCTTTTAGACTCCCTGTAACCTACTTATTTCCTCCTTTACTTCATTTATACTACCCTAGCTTTTCTTGAAGTCTAAGCTTCCCACTGCTCCTTGTCACGGTGTTGTAATAGCGTTGACCACTAAAACTAGCTGAGGGACTTCTCGGGATACCTCCTTGTTTCTTGACCCGTTGCCCACTTTCCACTGCTTAGGACCAAAGACCCTAACATCATCCTATTATCATAGCTACGGGCATATGGTGATTGTTCCTCTTCCTTTGGAGATTCATATTTCTCCCCTTTGTTTGTCTTAGCTTATTAGATCATCCACTTGTTTCCTAGTAGTAAAATCCTCGTACTACTCTCTCAACTCCTTCATAATCCTTGAGGTATTCCCTTTCAATTGGCACCTCTTTGCTGGTGTTTGGAGTTGAAGTCCTCGCACATTTGATTCTACCTCCACAGACCTTTGCAACGTTCCTCCTTCCTTCTCTAGGTTGATGATGATGATCTGTTTGCTAACGTCCGAGTAGTTGGTTAACTAATTGAAAAACTACTATCCATCATGTCGATGAGATACTTGGTCTTGAGAGCCTTTGAGATTCTACTTGGGTTGGTCACGTTTCTTTCATCCTTTCTTTCTTACTGGCGATCCCCATATGCCTAAATCTCTCATTTGACAAACCAAGACATGTTAACTAAATCGCGTCCTAGCCTATTCTTAAACAATCTCACCTTGGGCTGCCATCTAGGGCTGGGAAACGGTGCGGTCTGGTCCAGACCAGACCATCTATACGGTCTATGGTCCAGACCGAGAGGCTAAAGTATAGACCACGGACCAGACCACAAACTATACGGTTCGGTCCAGACCACGCCTGTGCGTTCTGGTTTGGTCTGGTCTGGTCCAGATAGATCACACTCAACGAAAAATGAATAATTTGTTTAGTCAACCACACAAAAAATTGAACCAATAACCAGGAAAAATAATTTTTATTTGCCTTAAATCATTAATCCTAACATGCATGAATAATTTTGATACTCTAAATCTTAGTACATACCAAAGATACAAAGTAAAAGCATCCCAACTTGCACCATAACGTCATAAACATTAACATAATGTCATATGGATACACGATTATCTCTACTCTCTAGTTAAATGTGGTTGTGAATTAAGGAGGGACGAGATTCACAAAACTAAGGTAGAGACTTGGGTGTCGTTTTGGGAGTTGGGAGAGTGGTCGAATGGGCTGTTAACACGTATTTACAAGTCAGTTGGGTCCACGGTTTGGTCCGGTAAACCGCGGTCTAGACCAGACCAGACCAAGAGATCAAAATATAAAATAGTACAGACCATGGACCAGACCAGACCACACTTAACGGTCTACGGTCCGGACCAAACTGCACGGTACGGTTTGGACCACGGTTTTTCTAACGGTCTGGTCTATTTTCCCAGCCCTAGTGCCATCCCTTCCTGCCGTGCTGTCATAGTTATTCACCATAATAAGATTAGAGTAGACTGGAGATTCTATAAACTTTTAAAAGAAGATCCTTGACTCATTTTTCTTTTCTTCAAAACAAAAGTCTTTAAAACTGAGACCGATATTCCAGTATTCCTTGGAGACCAAGGGACAGAGGAAGACCGGCTCTGATACCAAAATGAAACACCCTAACCCGGCCGGGTACTACTTTTACTAAAATGCCCTTGATAAATAAAATACTCAAATCTTAATTGTAGCGGGAAAAATTTTCATAAATAAAATACTGAAAACACACACTTGTAGCTCAGATCAAAGCCCTAACACGTGGGCAAATTAAACTCAAACTTTAAAATCTCAATATGATCTCCAGTCTATACTCATAATCATAAAATGTAAATAACTAGGTAGTCTCTGTCGTTGCTGCTAC